TGTCGGGGGGGAGGGGGGGTGAAATGTTCACTTTTACTGCGTTATGACGTCTGATTAGCCCCTGCTGTCTTTGGGGTTTTTACTCACACATCCTGTAGGGGGAGGAGGAGGGGGGTGTGTGTGAAGCGTCTACGTGACGACTGCAGAGACTCATCTCACCTAATGTACTCTCCCTCGTCTCACCCACACTGTCTGGATTAACTGTCTGTGTCTCTCAGCCTGTCTGTGCTGGTTCTAATCCCATCAGTTCAGCTCAGAGTGCGTTGATCTCCACGGTTCAGACGACGACTTTTCCCAAACAAACTAAAGCTCCACATGGACCTGACTGTTGGTCCTCAGACCTTCTGCTGCAGCTGCGTGCCATCCTGACGATGTCTCTGCAGCAGCAGTCGGTTCTTCTCCTTGTCAATGCTCAGCTCCAGCTCCACCTCCTTGCGAAACTCCTCCATCTGCTCCTGGAGGTGCAGCGCACTCCTGGTCTTTTGCTCCTCCATGTAAGCGGTTAGCTAAAGAAAAACAGACCACAGAAGATGGTGGTGTGGACACAGGAAGTTCACCAACGTCACCTCCAGCAGGGCTCAATGTGTATAGAAAGTGTTGAAATATTTTAGGATTGAATTCTAATCATGAACCTAATTCTGAGCCTTGGTTTCATCTGTGGTTGATGTGAAACTGAGCGACTGAGTCAAACCAACAACTGTTCGTTGACATGGTGCATCTCTAAACTCTGTCCCGCCCACGCTCCCCGACCCCCACCAGACAAACGGACCGTTCTTCCCTGCTGTTTGTTAGTCTGAGCCTCAAATAGAAACACTGCTCTCACTCTTTAGATTTTTTTTTATGATTTATGAGGAGGACTTTGAGTTACGCTCTGTGGGAGGGCAGCGATGACCGCAGCCTCACTGGCCACTAGTGGCCACACTCATAAACATAATAGTCCAGGAAATAAAGGCAACATTTACTCCAGTTTTTAGTCAGGCTCGTCCAGGGCCAAGCTCAGGGCGAGGACACACGGGTCGACGTGGACGTGTGTCTGTGGATCTTTACTTTGGTCTTTGGTTGTTGTTGTTTTCAGAGACAACGATTGCATGAGATGAAGTAAATGTTTTAGAAAAAGCGTTTCCTGTTGCGGGGTGAACCTTCGTGCGAGGACTTTGCCTGGTTTGTGTGCACACATCCTTACTGTGTGAATATGATAACGTGAGCACTAAACAGCTGTCATTCACATTCAGGAGGCCACAGAAGTGACCACTTCCTCTCCAAGGGAATGAAGTCAGTGAGCTCGGAGCGAACAATAACCAGTACACACACACACACACACACACATGTTGAACGTATATGTCAGAACCAAACCACAACACTGTTGTTTATGAACAGTTCATGTAGCTTTGGATTAGCCAATCAGCTCCAGCCTCTCATTATGGAGTCAAAACTGAAGTGAGGCCAGTGAACGCACCACAAACACCAACCAATAAAACTCATCCCTGAATTAGAACACATCCCTGTCAGTACGTTGAATCATCATCATCATCATCATCATCATCATCATCATCAGGTTTTATTTGTGACAGTCTATAGTAAGATAGTCAATAGTAAAGAAGTTACCGTTGAGTTGTACTAACACAGGGGTTCACAAACGTGTCCTTACCAAGACCCCCCAAAAAGCATTAGCCTCTGACCAGCCCCCCTCCCCCCCCCCGGGGGGGGGGGGGGCTACGAGGACTCGTGTGAAAGCGTTAGTAGGTTAAAATAATAACTGCAGTCAAGTTACAGTAAGTCCTCAGACGACCTCAGACGACCTCAGCCCCCCCCCCCCCCCCCCCCCCCCCCCACCACACCATCACCTTTAGGTCTAGAAGCAAGACACCCCAGACCCCCCCCCCCCCCCCCCCCCCCGACCTCCCCATCATCAACTACATTATGTTAAGGTTATGTTTCCACAACATCTGGGCGTCGTTATCTGTTCCTGCAGCAGACACACACACACACACACAACAGTGACTGATAGATATATTAATGTAGCAGTGAAAGGTGATTGGTCAGAGTCCACGTACGTTTGATCTGTGAAGATTAGGATTAGGATTAGGACGAGGGCAGTGTAGCTGTGATACCTGTAAGAACGACTGCTGCCTGTAGTCGTCCTCCATCTTTTTCAGAGCTCTTCCATGGGAGGTTATTAATGTGTCTCTGTGAACACACACACACACACACACACACACGGCGTGTTGTTAATTTCTCTGCAGTTCAAAACATTTAACATTGATAATAAATGTCATTCTACGGCAGCGTGACGTCAACGTGGCTGAGAGGACGTCTGTCAAATCTGGAGGGACCGCGACACAAACAAGGCTTTTAGAAATGTCCAGAATTTCACATAAACATCCCATAATAGGAGCCCATACATTTCTGTAGCAACATTCCAGTTTGTCATCACCGCAAGGACATAACTGAACACCCGCAACCATGTGACACTGTCTGTGGTCGCTGAAATATGACTGTGTGTCAGTGTCAGTGTGTGTCAGTGTGTGTGAGTGTGTGTGTGTGTGTCAGTGTGTGTGATCAGGGAGCAGATGTTCTCCAGCCTGACACAGAACAGCAGCTTCATCCCAGCTCTTGTGAAGGTGAGTGGATATAAAGTTTTACCGTGAAGATAAGGAGCTGTTGCTAGGTAGACATGGTGAAACTGACCAATAGAAACACAGCAACAATTTAACAACAATCTTCAGTGGTGGTGGTCTGGGAGTCAGGTCTCAGGTCAGGGCTCCCTAAAGAGAGGGAAATGTTCATTAAACTGATTCTGTTTCAACATGTAGCCGAGAGCTGATGCAGAGGTGTTCCCCAGTCCACCTGCAGGGGGCTGTCAACATCCCATAATCACATCCAACAGCACTGTAACACCCACCCCTGTGTAGGTAGTGCAGTGAAGGGTTAAACGTCACCCTGTGTGTGTGTGTGTGTGTGTGTGTGACCCTGGAGAACATGAGCGTGTAAATCCAGCCCACAGAAGGAGGTCAGAGGGATAACAGGGAGGAACCATGGGAAAACCAGGAGCGCTCTCTTATTTGCTCACACGGCAGTTTGTTTTTAAGGACAGCTCTGTGTGTGTGTGTGTCTGTGTGTGTGTCTGTGTGTCCTCACTCCCCGACGTTTTGTCAGCAGCAGAGCTCAAGGGCAAGTTTAAAATATATTTTAATGATGTTTGAATCAATAGCTACGACGTCACCCTCCTCCCAACACTGCCACCTACAGGCCAGGAGTCACTGAGAGAAAAATGTGACAAAAAAGTTCCTAAAAACCCGACGTTTTGACAGGTGAATTCCAGTCCAGGGTGAAGGTGTGAAGGTGTCCTCCACCTACAGTGGCTGCTGATAATCTCTCATCTAGTTTTATGGTTGTGACGGTGAGTGCAGTCGACGGCAGCAGCACTGACATCAGAACAGACACTGCAGGAGGAGGAGGAGGTTTTCACATCATAACTTCTGTCACGAAACATTCCTCTGCTGCTTGAAACAAGTCCTCTCCATTCAGCAGACACTCCTGACCTCTCCTGACCTCTCCTGACCCCCCCACACCCCCGCCCTCTGTCACTGCTCGCCCACTTTCTTCTCCTGCTGCGTCTCCTCCTCTCCAACCTGCTGTGACTCCCACTGACCAGCAGGTGAGAAGACAGGTCACCTGATTGGGTTGACTTGGTAAACAGTTTTACTAGTCGTAGTCCTTCAGCAGGTCTTAGTCAGAGTTAGTGTTAGTTAGTCAGAGTCAGTGTTAGTGTTAGTTAGTCAGAGTTATTGTTAGTTAGTGTTAGTTAGTCAGTGTTAGTGTTAGTTAGTCAGAGTCAGTGTTAGTTAGTCAGAGTTATTGTTAGTTAGTGTTAGTTAGTCAGTGTTAGTTACCCAGTAACCAGATCACACTTCAAGAACTTCAATCAGATATTTATTTGAACTTTATATTCAGTCGTTTAACTCGACACGTCAGACACGTCTGGACTGTGCCTTACAGCACAGAGCGCATGCTGTTTGGTGTTGCCGTACACCTCCATGATAACAGTGTTCTCCCGACTTTGTTTAGAGTTAATGTTAATGTTGTTTTGTTTTTTAAAACCTTTATTAGAAAAGCCCAGTGACTTTAATGCTGCTGTAAAAGCAGAGTTCTTTGATATTTCCTCCCATTAACGTGACTTTAATGTGGCTTCATGGAACAGTGTGGAGCAGAACTACAACACGCTGCATCACCTTATTACCCTGGCCTGGGGTAAAAGGCAGCATCAGCAGAGTTCATGAATCTGGCACGGACACCAGGGAGGGATAGAGCCACGCTTTAACCAACGGTCGTTACGCAACAAAGTACTTCACACCACCAATATATTACTGCAGTTACTGCAGTATTACAACAACAAAAAAAACACTGGGATCAGGGTAAAAACCTGAGTGTGTGTGTGTGTGTGTGTGTGTGTGGCGAACAACAAGTTAGAAAAGATCAGGACAGAAGTTGCACAGATCCAGAAAAAAAAATCTGCTTGTGACACACACACACACACACACAGCACTAGAGCGAGGACGTCTGTCTCACCAAAGTTTCACAGTAACAGACGGTGGTGTCTCCATGTGTCCTAACAAGTGATTAGAGGACATGAATATTTAAAGCAGCGAGGTCTGTTTCTGCTTCACTCCGGCCTTTATTACATGTAATAACAACTAAATATAATGGGTCCCGTTGTGGACGTCACATGACTTTCATTTCATCTGAAGAACTCTTCAAAGCCAACACCACTGCGAGGACACAAACCCTGGGTTTGACACACAAGAGTGAAGAGGGGAATTTCTGACGGTTAAAAAAAAAAAAACCCCAAAGAATTAAGTGATGATAAAAAACACACACACACATGGTGGAGATATCCGCCCTGGGGATGGAAGCTCATCTAAGATCCTGAAAAACACAACTCTCTTATGCAAGATGTCAGAAGGAATGTTCTTCTCTCCTCTGTTTTTATGAGACCAAATCCACACGTGAAGGTCACGGGTTCCAACCCTGTCATAAACCCCTGTGATTTACCCCATATACAGTCAGATAAATCTGACATCAGAGGGACATCACAGTCAAAAACAATGTCCTGGGTCAGCACTCACGTCCTGGTCTCCAACCAGCTGGATATCTATGATAAACCCATGTAAAAGAAAAGAAACACAGCTGAAGGTCAAGGGTCACACTGTAAAAATGAAAAAGTCAGAACCGGTTTCTGTTTCTCCAAATGACATGAGGAAATATTCCTGAAGCGTTGGTTTCATTTTGACGTTCTCTCACTGAGCTGACACACACACACACACACCAACACACTCACACAGTCTTGTTGTTACACGCATAATAACAGATTCAGTAACAGTCAGTAGCAGTCAGTGACAGTCAATAACAGTCAGTGACAGTCGGTGACAGTCAGTAACGGTCAGTGACAGTCAGTGACGGTCAGTAACAGTCAGTAGCAGTCAGTGACAGTCGGTGACAGTCAGTAACGGTCAGTGACAGTCAGTGACGGTCAGTAACAGTCAGCAGTCTAATCTGGACGTCATTAGTGGACAGCCTGTCCCTGCCTCGTGTCTCTGAGACTAAACCTAAATAAGTCCGTCATCAGTGAAGGTCCCCTGGGTCTGTGGGACATGTGGGACAGAGAGGTCACCACTGGGGACATGTGGGACAGAGAGGTCACCACTGGGGACATGTGGGACAGAGAGGTCACCAGTGGGGACATTAGTCATTAAAGTTTTTAAAGTTTTCGTTGTAGGCTCCATGGACCATGTGAGGAAAGCTGAACACATGGTACTTTCAAACATCCTTAACCAGCCTGAGGTTTGACCAGGACCAGGTGAGAACCAGGAAACCAGGGGTTAGAAACCAGGGGTTAGAGACCAGGGGTTAGAGAGCAGGGGTTAGAGACCAGGGGTTAGCCAAGCTGCTTTGTCTTTTTTTCCTTTTTTTTTTCTGGCAAAAAAAGACTAAAAACTAATGTAACCTGAAGCCTCACGTCACTGTCTTCACTGTGTGGTTTTAACCCAAGGAGGCAGCAGACCCCCCCCCACCCCCCTATTTAGTTGAAATAATTGGAGTTTGGTGGAGGACAGTCGTCCTGGCAGGAGCCGTAGTTTTGGCAGCAGGACGAGGTGTGACTGACAGCTGGACCGACTGCTGACGTCAGCGGTCGTCGTCATCAGAACGGTCGGATGATCAGAGAACCCGACGCCACAGAAGTTTTTTTTTTTTTTTTACCTTTCATTTCTCAACGCCGTCGTTTCCTGCTGGCCTTTCTCCACAGCTTCCTTCAGCTTGGTCAACTCTTCTTCGACATCTCGGTACTTCCTGTTTGTCTGTTCCTCCCTCTGTCGCAGCGACGACGACTGCTCCTGTAGTTGGTCGCACCTTTGTTGGCATGACAACCACTCCTTGTGTTTCTCCTCCAACTTTTCTTTCAACCTGTAAATAGAAACTCAGCAGTGAAAATGATTCACAGCGACAGGGTTTGGAGGTGACGTTTGGTTTGTGGACGTTCAGCTGAATTGACTTCTGTTGAACTGGTTCTGGTTGGTTCTGGACAGAGTGGAGCTCCAGCTCTGATCCATACGTTGGATACATTTATTTACTATTATAACCATCCACCGCCTCAATGCTACAGGGAGGCAGAGGGAGCAGCCAATCACAGCAGTCCTCAGGCCAGGGCGGGGGAACCCCTGGGCACATGTAAGGGCAGACAGACATTAGCCCTCTCAGTCTGGGGTCAGTTTAGATGACCTCCATGACCTAATCCCCCACTGACATGTTTATATAACGTGGGAGGAAATTGGAGTACCCTGAACCCCCCCACCCACTCCCCCCCCCCAGGGGGAGAGAACATGCAAAGACCATCAGTCGCCACCAGGACTTGAACCTTTGACCCTTCTCGCTCTGAAGCAAGAGTACTGACAAAATGTCACCCCCAAAAAAATAATATGAAGAGAGTTTTACATTTGAGATGGTTTGAACTTTGATCAGAAGAGAGTTCCGTCAATGAGACTTAATTCAATCCAGAATTTAAATCAACAAGAAGACGAAGCTCAGAGTGACCACAGCAAACGTCCAGTGTCTTCTCTGACCAGTCGTTCCACTCAGTAAACCTTCATATTTACCTGAGCGTCTCATCTCTGTCCTTCTTCTCAGACTCCTCCTGCAGCAGTCGTTGTTCTTCCCACTGTTTCCTCTGTTCCCTGAGAACAACATAAACAACAAAGTCAGGTTTATATTTACTGTTTATATACAGACGATTCACAGTCAGTCACTTTTTGAAACACAAACTGGAGGTTGGTGTGACGGTGTGTGTTGCTGCGCTGTGATGTCATGGCGGCAGCTGCTGCTCTTGAGAAAGTCAATTCTGTGCGTTCTGTTTTAGTTCTGCGTGCTGTGACAGTATCACACACGGACACAGACTTTACTCTAACCCTGTCGACTTCTCAGCCTAATCTCCTCTTTGTCGGCATGATCGTTTACGTGTGTGTGTGTGTGTGTGTGTGTGTCTGTCTAGCCCTGTGACCTTGCAGCCACACGCAACCAGGATCCAGAGGGAGAGGCTTGCGTGTCTGAGCCCACAGACGTCAGACGGCCTGTTTTCACTGCCAGTCTTAAACAGATTTCACCAACGATTCACACGCTGGAATTCTTCCACTGATTCGTTCACGTGGTTCAGTAAAGTGGAAGATGAAGAATGATTTCTTAATGGTGTATTTCTTCCCCTGACTCTCTGCTGAGCTCCTGTGAAAACGTCCAGAGACTTGAACAACAGCAGAACAGAGGAGCCGTGCACTGAGCTACTGCCTCTGTCTGCTGGAGCGGTCGTCTTCAAGGTCAGAGCCACAGTGATATCTGACCCCTGACTGCTGTGTCCACTGCTCTTCATCCTCCAGTCTCCTGTTCCACAGAGACCGGGGTCTTAGAAGACAGAAGACACAGGAGCGTAAGACGAGAGTGAGACGAAGGCTTGTGTTTCTGTGAATAACTGTGAGGAGAACAGGGGTCGCCCAGGGGTCACCCAGGGGTCACCCAGGGGTCACAGAGTTCACTGGGTCTTACAGAGGCTGCAGACGTTTGGTAACAGCTTCAGAAACACTGGAATAGGAGATTATTTTATGGTAACAGGATGGAGCTGAGAGGACGAGGAAGACGAGGAAGACGAGGAAGAGCCCAGAAACCCATGAGGTAAAGGTGGAGATGAAAATGTAAAGAAGTCATGTGATTAATTAGATGAACACCAACTGGACAGAAGTGTGAATTACACCTGGTAGACTCAGGGGGAGGAGCCAAAAACAGATTTAAAAGATGTTAAAAAAACCATCTTCACTCGTAGTAAATCTTCATATTTCTTATTGCTCATCACCATGACGACAGGCAGTGATTGATGTTTCAATCAATGAACAATTACTCTGCTGTGATGAGATGAAGAACGTCTGTTTTCTCGTGTGTGTGTGTGTGTGTGTGTGTGTGCTGTTTTAAGCAGACAAACATATGAACTGTGTGTGTGTGTGTGTCACTGCAGTCAGATGTGGCCACTGGTTCAGGAATGTAGCACAAACATGAAAACACGTGGGTGTGGCTCACACACAACGACAGGGAAGAAAACCATGGATGATGGTCTGCTGCTGGTCCACTCTGAACACATGGTACAAACCACAGACGCAACAACAGACGGCAACAACAGACGGACAAGTCGGGCGTGGAATGTGATAATAAGAGATGAGCTAGAGAGAGAGTTAGAGAGAGTGTTACAGAGAGAGTTAGAGAGAGAGAGAGTGAGAGTTAGAGAGAGAGAGAGAGAGTTAGAGAGAGAGAGAGTTAGAGTTAGAGAGAGAGAGAGACTTCCTCTTCTCCAAAAAGCTGTGACTGATTATTATCTAATATGAGATTAACGCAGAACTGAGGTCAGAGGGGAGGAAACAAAGATGAATGACTGTGTGTGTGTGTGTGTGTTGATCCACCATTTGAACACACACACACACACACACACACAGCAGCCAAAGTGCTTCATCCTTATGAAAACAAGCTGTATCATATCAATCACACCGATGCTTTGCTCTCTCTCTCTCTCTCTCTCTCTCCCCCTCTCTGTCTTTTGACCTTCACTCATTCCATCATCCTCTCCTCCCTCTCCCCCCCCCCCCCCCCCCCCTCCCCCCCCCTCCCCCCTCCTCCCGCCCGTTC